ACTCGTACAAAGTCCAAAACGAGTTCACATACCACGAGATCATCACTAGAAACCCACGAGAGACCAGAGTTGTAGTCGACACTGCTGCAAATGGCGCTCCAATCCAGATTTTCCCAGTGCGGATGATCCGATCACAAGGAGCAGTAAAGCATGACTCGCCAAAGAAGGGTCTTATTCAGGGAAAACAAATATCGGTAGCTAGATATATAGGGATCACGACCTCTGATTCCGAAAATGAGATCAAATTTAGCTATTTCATATCAGTTTTACTTCTACTCTTATTTTTCTGAAATCCACATGCCATTGACCAATAATAACACTTGCTTACTGCATAGCCAGGTCGCCAGCTTTTTGAAACTTCTAAGGGGATGTTTCATTCGGGGGCAGGTCAACTGGGGCAACTTTTCTTCTAAATATAGTATTCAGCTGACTGCATCGATTTTAATCGATAACCGTTTTCTGGAGACTTTTCATCCACTGCCGACATCAACACCAAGAGTCAGTCGCCGCCACTGACAGCAGAAAGAGGCCGCCGACACCAACTGCAGGAGGAAGAGGCCGCCGCCACCGACACCGACAGCGGCACAGAGAGGCCGCCGCCGACACCGACAGCAGCATAGAGAGGCCGCCACCGACACCGATAGCAGGAGGAAGAGGCCGCAACCTTCGACAACCGAAAGAGGTCGCCGCCGACACCGACAGCAGGAGGTAGAGGTCGCCAATGACACCAACAGCAGGAGGAAGCCGCTAGCGACAACAGAAACAGCAGCAATGACAGAAGATTGTTTGGAAGAAATCAATGTTCTCTTGATCGTGTTACTATCACTATTTAGAACTTTGACTAGCGCTACCTTGATATGGCAAACCTAGCATCAATAATGAAGGCATACAAGCATTAGTAGTTGCTGCGATTGGTGAGGTTGATGGTAGAAGTTTGCGACGAATATTTCAATGGACTTAACGGTGGGGAACAACTACTTTGACGAGAACTACAGCGCATTTGAGGAAGCTTGTTTACGAGCATTTCGAATGCGTCGTTCGTGCATCAAGCGCTTAGCTGGGTATCTTTGCCGGCGTTGGACTTATTACTATAGCCACGCACCTGAGAGTAACATGACTCGCTACTCTTTTGAAATGAAGTTGGAGTTGATTCTGCGCTACCTCGGCTTTCGCGGCTCGCTCGTTGATGTGACAGGGCAATTTGGAATGAGTGTAGCCACAGCCTCGCGCTCATACTTCTCTATTTGCCGAGTGCAGTACGACGACCGTCGCCATTTTGTTCGTTTTACTACTTCTGCGACTGCATTGAACCCGTACCTTCTCTGCAGCTCATTTTAAGCCTCTCTTAGCAACGGGCGCTTCAACCTCCTTCATCGTCGCCTCATTTTGAGTAGGACTAACGCTAAGATAGGACTCCACGTCCGATATTGCAGCATGCGACTCTGTAGAGATTGTTGTATTCGAAAGTAAGACTGTATCTCCTAGGAGAGCTCGTAGCTCATCGGGCATTCCCTCCATCATGGAGGGAATGCCCGGAGAAAATCCTCGAATAAATCACTCGTAGTGCTGGGCGCTAGAATTCTGCAAAAACGATAAAGCAGCTCTAATCGAATCTGACAGAGATAAATTTACCCCGGTTGCTCCGAGCTCCAATCTCGGGGCAACTGGGACAGAAATAAGCGATTCTGATTGGCTGAGAGAGTTGCCCCAGTTGACATGAAACATCCCCTAAGAGCATCTCCACCGGTGCGTCGCTATATCTATAAACTCGCTGCCTTCCGATTGGCCGGAATGATTTTAGCGATAGACACCGAGAGGCATCACTCACCAATCTGTCGCTATGTGGAGAAATCGTCTTTTGCGAGAAGCTCTTGACGACGAGGAAGAGGCGTACGTCTGCTCACTACTTTTGACCCCTAGCGCACCGAAAAAGAGAAAATACGGCGGTTCACAGCCCGGCAAGGCTGCAAATGTCGACAGAGACTTCACTGCGGTTAATGAGATGCTTGTGCGGCGATACTTCGCCGAAACGCCACTCCACGACGACAGGACATTTGCACGTCGGTATCGCATGCCAAGCCATTATTCATGAGAGTCCACGACGAGCTGATTTCGCATTATCCGTATTTTCGTCAGCGCTTTGATGCAACTGACAAGCCAGGAATTAGTATCTTGTTGAAAATTACTTCAGCGTTTCGGATGTTGGCATACGCGAAGGCAGGGGATGAGATGGATGAAGTATGCTCTATCGGAGAATCTACGGTATTTGAGATATTAAATTAGTTCTGTTTTGCCGTTGTAGAAAAGTTTGGACCAACGTACCTGCGAGTACCGACAGAACACGACATTTCAGCTTTGCTGGACGTGAATAAAGCGAGAGGTTTCCCGGAAATGATAGGTTCGATTGATTGCATGAAATGGGAGTGGGCGTTATGCCCTCGAGCACACGCTGGTCAATACAAAGGACGCGAGAAGAAACCTACTGTTGTGTTAGAAGCAATTGCATTAGGGGATCTGTGGATTTGGCATGCTGATTTCGGAGCAGCAGGTTCCAACAGCGACATCAACGTTCTTCAAAGATCGTCATTTCTACGACGATTGCTTCATGGTGAAATTCGTCGCGTTACGTCCAAACTTGGCAAGACAGAGCGCGATTTTCCTTTTTTGCTTGCCGACAGTATTTACCCGAATTGGTCGGTATTTGCCAAAGGTATAGCAACGCCAACCTCACAAAAGAGAAAACGTACGAAACTTCACTCAGCTCTACGAAAAGACGATGAAAGAGCATTCGGCGTTCTTCAGCGACAGTGGAGGATACTTGCTTTGCCTGCGCGGTTCTGGACTGTTAAAAAGCTTGAAAAAGTAATGCATTGCTGCATTAATTTGCATAACATGATAGTGGAGTCGCGGCACGATTTACTTCATGTCGTGTACTTTTCAGATCCGCCTGAACCAGCGGTATCGCAATCTGGATGTCCTATCACCTCAATTACAGACGTCATCGATGCATTTAGCAATATTGACAGCGAATACGAGCACATCAAGCTTCAGAAAGAGTTGGTAGAACATGCTTGGGAAAATAAAGGCAATGCATTATAAAAAGTACACTGGCTTCATCAAACTCTGGTCACAAATCTGCAATCTCAACAATGTTTTCTTCTGGGATTCACTCGCAACGCCACTTGACTCCTGATAGAACCCCACAGGGATCTCAGTTTCAGCAGCAGAAACCTGGTAGGTTTCCCTCGTCTCGTCGTCGCTCTGCTTCGACTCCGCGAACTTTTTTTTATCATTTCGGAGAGTTTCTTTTGACGCAGAATTTTGAAAAACTCAGCGCGTTGATCAGGGTCAGCATCGGGCATGTTGAAGAGTTGGATGCTTGCCCACTCGCTCAAAATGTCGTTCTTGCGCTCCATTGATCTTGCGATCGACCTAGACGCAGCGTACTGCATCTCAAGAAGTTCCCTCTCCTTCAGCGATTGGATCGCTGCTTTTGCACCTTGGGGACGCTTGGCATCCCTCGTTTCAGCAGCATTTCCATCGGCAGGTCGCTTCTTGTTCACACTCGCCGTCCACTTCGGTTTGTTCTTAAGTACTTCGTATGCAGCAGCAAAAGAAAACTCCTCTCCTTGAAGAGCCTCGTATAACTTATGAGCGTCTTCAAATCTGTCTTTTTCTGTTTTCCCACTTTCGTTTCGCCTAACAACAACAACCAAACAACCAACAAGCCAGCTCACATCTCGATTGATGTCTGACCATCGGTTTTTCAAGGCGATGACAGAGCGCTTGTTTCCTGGTACTATCGTACGGTATGACTGCAAGATTAGCGTCCAAAGGCTGTCCGCCTTCTGATCGGCCCCTGCGATCGGGTTCTGCGACGTAGCGCACCACGCCGTGCACAGGGCGGCGTCTTCTTTGTCCGACCAAGCTTTTCCTCGAGGCATTGTTCGTTTGCAAGTAATCCAACCTCCTATAGATTTCAGTCGCTATGGCGTCCGGAATAGCGACCGAAACCCCCCGGTAGCTAAAAAATTGGCGATAGAGACGTCTGGTGAAACCTCAGTAGTTATCAATTTGAGCTCTTCAGTCGCTATACCGGTATAGATATAGAGCCTCACCGGTGGAGATGCCCTCTAAATGACTTATTTTATAGCTTCTTGAGCTGCTGTAGGTTATGGGTACGCTTGGCTAATTGCATACACAGGAACGCGTGGACGCTCAGGCCAGCGATGCGGCCCGACTCCAGGGTGAAAACAAGCTGCTGAAGCGCGCCGTGGCCATCCAGAATCAGCAGAAAGAGGAGGTTCAGAACGAGAACAACGCATTGAAACAGCTGGCCACGCAGGCCGCCGAGCACATGAAGCGTCTAGAGCAAGCCAACTACACGCTGAGGGTTCATCTGCAGACCAGCACCAACGCCGGTCTCGGCCACCAGCAGCAGCCACCTGATGTGTACTAGGCCATCGATGGCCACACATGACCAGGCCTTGGCCTTCACTGGCCAAGGCATTCTATAGACGACCCAGTCCCGTTCTACTACCATTCATTATTCTATGGGCCGATGTTGGAGTATCAAAAGGCAGAAAGCTGCCACGATACTTTGGCTCTCTCTCCCGTGACACCGTCGACGTCGTCTGTGTCTTCCGTTACTCAGTTGGAAGTAGTCAGCCGTCGGGAAGCTTTCTACTTCGTCCTCCACGATTAACAACGATCCAGTTTCTTCTCGACGATCGACTGAGCTACCACCTGACGCAGGGCGAGAGAAGCACTTACTTTATTTCGCAAAAAGCATTTAAACCCCACAAACATTGCCTAATGCCAAACTCAACGTGTCGACGTTGCATCCGTTTACTTTTTTTTCTCTAGGCCGACGCCTTCCTTGAACGCCACTTACTCGTTGGTGAAGCTGACTCATCTACCTTGTCTTCTTTATCTTCCTGAGTGTGCTGGAAGTCTTGAGTAAGTTGCGACGCCGAAGCTGCACGAGCCCGAGCAATATCTTCAATGGCTGCTGCAACATGACGACGCTCCTGTGCGGCGGTGAACTCGTCGATGTGTGCGTAGCGGTTCTTGAGGTGATACGGCAGTTCGAACTGCGAGCGTTTGGGCCAAATGGACAGGAAGAGTTCGTGCAGGATCTGACTCACCGCAGTTGACGGGTTCTTCATGTCGTCGTTGATGCACACAAACTTGGTGCGTCTCGCTCGCGTGCCCATCATTTGCTTCCACGCAAACTAGTAATTGTCGCTCAGCATGTGGAACGTCACCTTAGTCTCCGACATTAATTCCACCTTGGTCTCGTATCGAACGTTCTTAACGAGCGCGTCACGTACCGAAGGACATCGCTCGAGGTTCTCCAGAGTGATGTACGGCGTTAACGTCTCGCTAAGTCGCAGCGTTCCCTCCACCGTCGGAATCTCACGAACCTTCTCGCGTTTTTCAGGCTGTACGCACTCACGCACTTTGCTCACGAAATCCTCAGGCGGAGCGTCACCATGTGCGAGACTCGCAGCTGCCAGC